CAAAGAATTCACGTTGACTCGTGTGTTGACTTGTATTAAACGTACATAAAAAAAAAATGTACCATTTTTTTTGAAATGATACAAAAAAATATGTATCATCTCGGTTAATTTTACCGTTATTATAATACGTTATTATGCACGCGCGTGCAACGAAAATCCGCCAACGTTGCGCAGACGTGAACAATAAAACACCCAAGTACACGCGTACAACATAGTATACTCGCGGGCCCGCTCGACTCGGACATGTATTCATATACTACTACTATTATTATTATTATTATTATTACTATTATTATCATTATTGTTATTAAACGCATAACGTTAATGTACTGGTGAAGCCTCTCGGGCTTGGCCTCTAGATCACCATCACCGGGGGCGGCCGCCGTCGTTTCGTATGCATTCTTTGCACGACAACAGCACTTGTACACATACAAGATTAACAATAATAATAATAATACCCGAGTTCAATCATGTTAAGTCCGTCCCGTTGTGCAATGCTCGGCCGTATATAGCCGGATGACGGTGACGTTTGAAAAATACAAATAACATTATAACACGTAGGAACGGATATATGTCGCGGTACAAACGTTCGATTTCGGTAAGTCGCCCATATCGTCTGGACACGCAGACTGCAGTGTTTCGGGAAGGAATCGAATACAGCTGCGGGGCTCGGAATCAACGTTATCCCGTGCTAAAACACACAAGGTTCGGAATAAATGTTTTGTAGACACTTTCTGAAAATTGATTTAACCGTGGGAATAGTGTCATTTCTTCTGCGTCTAGCGCGGATCAGTTCTACGGTATTAATATTGTTTGTATAGTAAGTTACTCTAAAGCAATGGCGTAGCTAGGATCAGCATAGGGTCAAAGTAGGGCAGTGCTCCGGGACCTCGGAACCCAGGGGGCCTTGAACATTTCTAAAACTATATTTCCTTAAAATAAGTTACAATGTTGATGTATTTAAAAATAAATTCCCTAATCGTTTGTGGTGATTCCAGTTACAATCAGTATAAAATAGATTAATAATTCACGCAGTATTCAATATATTTTTTACAGTAGTAAACTGGATTTTCTTTTTACTTCGTATATCTATTAATTATTTTTATTCATCGTTTCATAATAAGTATTTACATAAAAAAAAAAAAAAATTATGTGTATACTTTGAATATTTCATATTAAGATAATATTAGTTAGGTGGTCTAGTTTACTTACCGTGCCGAGGTCCTTTCCCGTGTAGCTACGCCATTGCTCTAACGAATAAGATTTTATTACGCACCGTATTAGTGCGTAAAATTTCAAGACCCGAGAGCACAACTATCCCGTGTTCTACGGTTATGCAATATGTGTATGTATTATGAATTGTACGAAAACAAACATTTTAATTATGGATATAATAATGGTATTTTACGGCGGTTAAAGGATTGGATTCGCGTTTACCCGGTATGCGGTGAGAACGTGGGCGCGGGTTAAGGTTTCGCCGCGGATGTACAATCGCTTGGGCCGTCTATCACCGCAACAACGGGCCGGGACGGACTTGAGAGGAACCATCGGTGCCGAATTACGTTGCGATTCGTTAAATGGTTGGTTTCGCGCACGGCCATTACGATTAAAGTTGCAACGTGTCTCCCGCGTAATGGTCGCGTCGCGCGACACGAGCATATCCGTGAAAAATTAACAAAAATAAAAAAATCTCGATGAAACGTGTTGCGCGTTTTGTAATCATGTCCAAACCCGTTTGCGGGCACTTCTCCATACTGGGAACGAGCTTTTAAAATACCATTGCGGTTAAAAATACGCGTTTTCCCCGCGAGTGAACTGCGAAACGCTTACGAGTGGAGTCGTCCGAGGATACGTCCGCAGCTCGTTTGCACCGAAATGTCCATTATCGTAATCGTGTTACCGCTTTAAAATAAATTATCATCGTCTGAACCATGCCGATTCGCTGTAAAAACCGTAATTCTACGCGTGATAAGCAAATAAAAAAAAACTTCAAACTAATTGCAATCCATCATGAATATTATCATAACCATCACAGGGTTACAAAGTGTTTTATTATTTTTTTTCTATTTTTTCCAGCACTACTCGCGAGAGCTTGATTTTGATCACAGATTACGTGCATGTATATTTATAATTCATATACCATTCACTCATTGATCATTTTGAGCCAATAATACCATTTGAAATATCGAGAGAATGTAATTATTACTATATAAATAGTGCATGATTTTTTTTCCAAAACTGCATTTTTAAAGGCTGAAACAGTTTTTGGGCTCCAAGCTAGGTATATGCATTTATCCATTTTTTGGTTATCTATTGGGAGGGGGGGGGGCTAGGAATATATTATTCTTATAATTACCGATTAAGGAATGTATAAATTACACATAGACATACAGTTTAAAAATAAATATCATTAGAATATACGAAAATTGTGTGCTTTTTTTCAACCTGAATTATTTTTTGAAAAAAAAAAAAAAAAAGGAATTGTTGTAGTTCTAATCTAAAATAGTAAAATATTTCCAGGCCGACACCAAATGTATCAGATAGTATCTTATAAACGAGAGAATATCGTACTGTGCTCAGCTATAGTGTATAAAATATACGAATTCGACGTTTCATGTATATACGTTTTACCATTTCGGTTCGGATCGATTTCCATCAGTCTCTCGTACCTATATAGTATCTATCATTATGCAGTTGTTACGACACCGTACCATTATAATATTATATTTAATGCTAGGTTATCAAACACGTGTACGTGTGAAATATTCAGAGTCATCGTAAATATTACTGCCATCTACTTAAAATACACACTTTTACACTTCACGTTAATAAGCAATTTTTAACGCCCATTTTTTAAACTTTCCTCCTTAAATATTCATAATTATTTAAACGCGAAACCGCATATAAATTATTAAAAAATTATACATATAGATTATTTTATCCTCGTTATAATTGTTAGCTTTATTATGTACCTACACCGCGGCTGTATAATATCAGATATAGCTTACATATATATTTACGTATAAAATATTATATTCGTCCGTATTGTAAATGCGTTCATCTATGTCTAATGTCTATCCGTTTCCATGGTCTACACCAACACAGTTGATGACCTTAGGAAAATATTAAAACCCTATAAGAATTATAGGATGGGTTCAAATCAAATGATATCTATAATAATCACGTCCATAACTTTATTATTTTTTACTCAAGGTTCTTGAAAATAATAAATTATAAATGTTCAAAACATCACTTTTTTTTCAAATTATATGGTAAAAAATCTTTACAAAGGACATTTTTTATTAATTAATTTTTTTTAAATATTTTCATACATTAAGAGTCATTAAATATCAATAAATGTTATCAATTATAACATATTTGTATATATATTATATTTTGTTATGAGAATATTGTCACATGGGTGGAACTTTTTAGATACAACACTGAGTAGAGGTTTAATATCGTATGAGTACAATGTGGTGTATGTAATTTTTTTTTTTTAAAACATGAAATAAACTTTGTATATAGTTTACTTATATTATAGTTTATAATAAACCAGAAATTTTCAAAATATGATGATACATTTAAGTATGTAATTTGTAACCCAATTTTCTTGCATAATGATCAACACAAAACGATAAACTGAAAATAACTAACATATTATTTTGATGATAAAAAATATTTTTGAAAGACTATAAAATACATTATACTTTTAATAATGATTCTATATTATTTTGTTTTCTATTTTTTTAATTTTATTATGAGAAATACTGGGTTCACGATGGTCTATAATTAGATTAAATTAACTTTAAATTTATTTATTTCATTATGAAAAATATAATAATTTCGAATTTTACGAGAGTGACTTTTTTAAAAATCTTATGAAAAAATAAAATAAAAAGACCCTTTTTTTGTTTTATTCTAAAGCTTTTACAGCAAGATAAATATTCATCATATATAAATGTTATTATTTCGTCTATTAATTTAATCAAATTGATTTTAGTCATTATGATGATTTATTTGTCAAAAAGTTTTGAGAAATAATACTTTATTTTAAATGATATATATATATATGTAACCACACCTATTTATTATTTAATAATGAAATTACCTACTCGAATATACAATAATTGTATTATTAAAATAATTATTTTATTTTTTTTCTTAAGAATTTATACTAATATATTTTATATAATATAAATGTTGTGAACCAAGTATTTATTAATAAAATTATAGCATTTTATTTAGGAATAATTGTAATATTATTAAAATATTTTTCCTTTTGTATAACTAATAGAACATCTTAATCACTAGCCATTGTTATTTCCTTAAGTTAAAAATATTACTATTCAGATGTCGACAGACGCTAAACATAAATTATTTTCAAAAAAATCGATTATAATATATTCGGGTCATCTTTATTCTACTCGCATCCAGCTGGCAACTCTATAGTAAATACTTCAGTAAATTGTGCACGTGAATTTTATAGCGTACCAAAAAAAAAACACTATTCCGATCCAACATAATACAGAATTACACATCAGTAACTTTAACGCTACGACAAAACGTGGTTGAGTATAATATGTAATTTTTCCACCACCGAATATATTAACATTATAGGTAAATATTAGTATTCCGAATAAAAATAACGATTAAAAACGATTATGTGCCAATGACGAATAATCTACACGGTGCCCCGAGATCAGAATTGAATATGTTCTCTTCGATTGGGAAAAAAAATGCCTTCATGACCTTGGGCATAAGTAATATTAATATTTGAATAAATCACGTTCATAATTTTTTTCTTTTTCCCCGCACTCGCAGACAAACACAAAAAAATACACGCGCGCGCGCACGCGCACACAAACACGTGCGAACGCAATACATCTCACATCTGCACCCGAAAGATAATGCGTGGAACCGCAACCCATAAAGTCCAGGGTTATCCAAACGGGTGGGGTCGCCGGTCGGTTTCATATATAAGCTCGCGCTGGAGAACACTTATTTACATCGAATTCGTCTTCTCGTCACTGTACATCTACAGTATCAATCCGTTCAAGTCTCAAACCCGAACGCAAGACAAATAGCAAAACATCATGAACGCCTTCGTCAAAGTGAGTAGAGCTACACGAGTTATCTATCTATAATTATTTTTTCTAACCCGGGATACCGCATCGTGATACAATAGTGAACATTTTTTAAGTATTCGAGAATTTCCTCTCCACCATAATATTACAATGTTGTTTTGTTTCTGTTAGGTTTTCGTCGTATTGGCTGTGGCCGTAGCTCTGGCCCAGAGCGAAGAAGCAAAGAAAGACGCAAAAGTCGTTGAGAAACGATCCCACGAAAAATCTGACCTGACACCAGCAGCCACAGGACGATGTGAGTAGAAAATACAACGTTCATTTAGATGAATACTATACCATAGACTTAATAAAACCAAAACTAGCCTTCTATAGAAGGTAAATATTTGCTCTACGTGCCCATAACACATCTATTTATTTTTGGTTTCATTCTCAAACCGTACTTATCGTTTGATTTTCACTCACCTCGTACAACTCGAACGAAATTTATTTAATTATCCTCCGGACCTGTGGTGGTTTTACAGGGGTGGTAGGGTTCGGACCTCCCCCTAGAGTTTAGGCTATGATATATTATTCGCTCGGGACGATCGGGTCTAAAATTGTACGTTATGTTTTTTCGTTTATATTAAAATTTTAAGTAATAAATTATTAACGAGTTCAACATTTTCGTGTCTTTATATATTATAAAATAATATCAAAATACCCTCCCCCCCCAGAAAAAATTATAAAACCACCACTTTTCCGGACGTACATGACCGGGGTACAGTATTCGAAACACGTGCACAGAAGAAGTAGTACGGTCGGCGGCGGTGTACCGTGCGCGCTTCACCGTTCGACGTTCGTGTTTCGGATCCGTTCGCGCGTCGAGCGTAATTCGCAAGATTCCGATCGTTAGATGGTTCGTAGATCGTAGACCCGCCATTGGAATCGAAAACCCACCACCATTATCGACGCGCAACTACAACCCACGCGGGCTCAAGCACGTAAATAGATGCTTATTTTTTTGTAGAGCCGGAGCGGGGCGATCGACCTTTTTCGAAACGATTGGGGCTTGAACGGTTTACAACAAAACGGTTACCACAGTACGATCTTTGGGAGGATACGATCGCCACCCCCCCCCCCCGTCCAACCCTTAAATTATGTGTCTTCACGGATCTCGCTATCGAAACACGCACTGGGCCCGTCCACGCGTTACAACATTAAAACGCGAACAACCGTGCGCGTCAAACGCTCCGCTCGCGAGCACACATTTCGTCTGATCGTCCGAGTTTATAACTCGTCGCACGGTCGCAAACGCAACGTTTCCGATGCGGTAGTTTTCTCCCTCTCGAGGTCCTTCGCGCACGCAAACGTCCCGGCGACGGCGACGACAGCGCGTGTTTGCACAACGCATTACGCAAGCATTACGGACATCGACGGCGGCGCGGAGTCGATCGGATGTTTTCCCGTGGGAATCGGCCGTCCGTTTCCTCGCGTCCGTAATGGCCGCGCGGCGCCGCCGTGTCTCCCGGGACCGGACCGACGCCGCGACCTTCGAACGTAACAGCGCGGTGTCGGCTAACCGCGAGCCGACCGCCACCGCCGCCGACTAACGCGGACCCCGACGGAAATCGTCCCTCGCGGTTATCGCGCGTCCTCTCCTGCGTACCCGCACAAGTCATTTGCTTTTCTTCCGTCAATGTTCCCGTGTACGGACGATCGTTTTTCGTAATGGTTTCCGCGCGCTCGCGTTCGTGCGCTGCACCCACTCGGCGGGTACCGTCTGCCGCTCTCTTACCGAACGTCTCGTTCACCTAGCCCGACCGGCAACCGCGCCCCTCCCCCGCCACGGCTCGTTACTGATTTGTTCTTGTTCGCGCAGTGTTCTCGGGCGGTTACAACAGCTACCCGACCGGCTACAGCAGCGGTTACAACAGCGGCTACAACAGCTACCCGACCGCGTACAGCAGCGGCTACAACGGCGGCTACAACGGCGGCTACAACGGCGGTTACTACGGCGGTTACAGCGGCTACCCGAGCACGTACAGCAGCGGTTACAACAGCGGCTACAACAGCTACCCGTACAACACCGGATACTCGTCCGGTTACGGCAGCAGCTACAAGTACCCGAGCAGCGGTTACGGTAGCGGCTACAACAGCGGATACGACCAGGGCTACGGTTACAACAAGTACCCGTCCGCGTACTCGTACAGCAACAGCTACAACTACCCGGGATCGTACAGCTCCGGTTACGGGCACAACAGCTACGACAACGACTACTACGGCAACCACGGCGGTTACAGCGGCTACAAGGGGTACAGCTCGTACCCGTCCACCGGTTACGGTTACAACAAATGGTAATCATCGCCGCCGATCCGACCCGCCCGACCACCAGACATCGCACGGACGACGACAATACCTTTGTAAATCGTTGTCATCGGATTTCTCTCTTTCTCGTGGATTTTTTTCGCAGTCAAAAAAACTTCGCCAACGTTCATTTCTTTTGATGACATGTAAAAACTCTGTTATTCGTGTATTTTTATATATATGTAATACATCCTGTATATATACATTATACGCATATACATCTAATTAATTTATTGTCCAAACAATATATATATATATATATATATCTATGTGTGTGTGTATAATAAACATTATAATGTAATACGAGTCTACAATTGAACTTGTTAGTTTTGTATGTACACTATTTACGCAGTGTTCTCCGTTATGTTGATCGTTCGCATTACGGTATTCCGTCAACCGGTCGATAACACCGGGTCCGCGAGTAAATACGCAAAATATTCAAACGTAATACGTTCGCGCGATCGAAAAACTGTCGAATTGTAATTGTTTTTCGCGCCAGAAAAAGTACGAAACCGGTTTCTGGATGTGAACGCGATATAAGGGTGAAAAATCAAGTGATGGTAACTAGAATTATCCACGATTACGAAAACATAAAATGAAGTGAAGGTCAAAGAAAAATACAACAAGAGATAATGGTAGACAATGTTCGACATTACACGCGATTGCCGTCACTCATAGGACAGTGTGACTGTATGCATTGAACATTTGAAATGTGTACAAATGACACAGTGATTAGAAAAACAAATATGTTTTCACGGAATACGCTTAAAACATAGGTAGATATAAATAAGATTTTAATTTTATTTTGTACAGAACAACTATACACTTAATATAAATCATTTTCGTGACAAATCTAAATAAATAGCGAAATTATTCCAACAAGGTCTTTAAAAATTAGTTCTCATCGTCTTTTACAAACTACAGCTACCCAGCTACCACGGTTCTTTGTGTCTAAGTGTGCATTATATGTCCGAGATTGCAAAACAATTTCTAAACAACTCTAATAAGTATTAACAATCATAACTATTATTAACTTTTTTAATGGGTACTACCTACTAATAACAAGGTATAAATATTCATGAGAATATTATTGTTTTTATGTAGCATCGCAGAATTAATTGTGTGTAAATGAGTTGATGTTATGGAAAACATTAAAAATAAAAAAAACTAGTTCATTAAACATCAAATAAAAGACACTTTAAATTAAGTGAAAAACGTCAAACGTATTAGGATCTAGTTGTTTCGGAAATAATTAATGCAAATACCAGTTTTTTTTTTTAAGAAACATGCCCAACCAAAAAGCAATTTAAATGGACATTAATAACTTTTATTTGTATTTATTTATTTAGGCTTGTACAAAAATCAACATTAATAAAAATAAATTTAATAATATTATATGATTTAAAATTCAAAATTATTTTTAAATAAAATGTAGTCAATGATAATAAAAAATAGTAAGTATAATAAAATATCAAAAGGTTCAATAATACTAAAATAATAATTGCAATAAATTCAGAATTTTAATTTATTTAATTAATGACGTTAATAACTTAAAAGCAAATGGAAATACAATTTCATTGATGGGCTATATAAAAAAAAAAAGAGTTAACTTCAAAAATGGGAAAAATATCCTATTCAAAGGCATTTATCAATAGATGTCCTTAAGGATCAGAATTCGCTTCAAATTTATGGATAATAGTTGTCAACAAATCTAAAAACATTAATTCTAGAACATTCAATAAGTATTTGCTACATTAATGATACCGTTGTACAAGAGTAACAGCAAATAACAGAAAATAATTATTTAAAAGAGTTGAACTAGCCTTAATTGACTTACATGTTTGGGAAAATGAAAGAATACTTGAGTTTATCAACTATTAAGCCACAGGCACTTGTGGCGAAAGGAAACTAAGTGCTAGGATTCGCTATAACTTTCAGTGACAAAATAATACGACTTTGAAAAGCATAAAATATCTAAGAAATTGAATTAATACAGTTATCACATTTGAACAAGAGAAAATTATATTTTGTTTACTAAAAAATTTACCTGCTATAGTATTGAAGAATATCAATAACAATAAATCCAGGCCACATGAAGTATAGACATATTAAAAACTTGTTTATTCATGTCGTAAATAGGAAATTGATTAATATGAAATTTTAGTATATTAGAAAACAATTCTAAAAATTAGTATGTAAGCAATAAATATGTTTAATTAATCAAGCGAAGTAATAAAAGAGAGAAAACTTGCGAATAACATAACGTGTATATATAACTGTCACTACACTTTGTATATAATATTTGTAAATTGCAACTTGATTTCCATAATAAAGATTATTATTATTATTATTATTATAAATAGGTCTTCCGCAGTGATCGTGTGACCCGACCACTACAGAAAACATATGCTTTATTTCAAATGGTATCTTAATTTACGTTGTGTGTTTGTGTCTCTACGCGCGATCTGTTCGGCGTATACAACACTACCAAGGATAACATACAGAGTAACTTCATAAGAACTAAAAAAAGATATCAACTAACTACAAGCTACTCAAAAGCGCTCCCTAATAGCAATTATAAAAGCCTATAACACGACTTCAACAAACGATTTAAAATTCGTAGCAATACTTCTGCCATTATAGATAGATTGATACACAGCCAGAATAAGCCAAACGAGAAAACAGATGGACAAAGAAGGTTATAGATTTAAACAGTATTCGAAACCACTTGACAAGAAATATGAGACACATTTACCAAGAGTAAAGAAACATATCAATGGGTTTTCATTCATTAGACATTCAATTAAGATTTGATATACCATTATTATAAATAGATCAATATGTTGTCCAACACCTAATAGGCCACGGAGATTTTAACGCGAAACTTGAAACATTCAACGTCCAAGAATCAGAAGAATATGAATGTGGTAAAGGACTAGTAAAGAATCGAATATATATATTATATATATAATATAGAATCTCATTACGAAATAAAATGGAACAGTATGGATATAACTGGTTATCAGACAAGAGCCAGCTCATTGAAAGCAGAGATACCTACCAATAAATGAGAAAATTTGCATAAAAAAGCCTTAACGAACAATAGGTACTGATCAGTGCTTGGAAGGAATGCGTTCAAAGGAACTCGTTCTTTTGATTTCATTCCATTCTTAGGAACTTATCGGGAACACAGTTCCTTTTTGGTGTTTAAGAACGTATTGGAATTTCGTTCACTTTTTGGAGGAACACGAATGATTTTTTTCGTTCCTTTTTCGTTAATTTATTTTTAAATGAAAGTAATTAAATCATTTTTAGAACTATGAGAAAAAAGTTTTAAAACTTCTTTAGCAAACATAAAGAGCTAAAAATAAACTTTTTTTTTATACAAAATTTTTAAGGTTTCAAAATTCCATGCTGTCGCGGCGACCTTATTGGTGGGACATCGTTAGTGGCTGAAAAAATACTTGACGATACGGGTGTGTATTACTTACAATTTGTAATTTATTACAAGTATATTTTCTATTTTTGAAGCGTACCTACAGGCTACAGCTAAAGCAATGTCTCTTTTTCAGTACAATCATTTGTCTGCTGAGTGCTGCCTACACAGGTTGATAAATTAATTTCGTGTTATTTTCACTAGTTATTTTATTACTTATTAAATATTACCAGGGCTCGGAAGTTGTAGCACTATCATTTTTACTTTTTAGCTCTTAAATATGCACTTAAAAACTCTAAAGTATGCGTTATAAATAGTACGAAAAATAAAAAAATATGCATTTAACTTGAAAAAAATTGTAAATTGATTAGAAAAAAAATTAAATGCAATTTTACAAATTTTTGGGCTCATAGATGGCTGGACTGGATAAATTATAAACTGTTAACAAAAATGTTAAATTAATTAATTATTAAATATCATTATTATCAACAAATGATGATTATTTCCTGTATTATGTGAAAATATATCCAAAAATAGCACTCTAAACCCTAAATTAACAAAATAGCAATAGAACCCGTGTATATGCAAAAAATAGCAAAATTAAATTTTGTGTATGATATCCGAATAGTATAAAACATATTTGTATCTTACTTTGGATATTCTAGGATGAACCAAGAATAATATGCATTTTTTAGAACTTCCGAGCCCTACTTGTTACAAATCAATAATTATGTCAGACGAAAGCACGAGTTAAATTTCAACTTCACGTATTGGTATTCCATGGCCAGGAGTTGAAAAACATTTTTTTTCTCAAATTTTTAATGGACCTATTACATATTATAAAATAATTAAAATTGAAGCAAGTATTATAAAATTAACTTGTATGGAATAAACAATTTTAAAAAATAAAAACAAAATAATAATACCTAATTAAATTAATTATTTTAAAACCTTTGAAGAACGATAAATGTTCTTTATTTAAGAACGAGAAAAGAAACTAGTTCCTTTCTTCAAGACAGGAACGGTAAAGGATTTAGTTCCTTTTTAGCAAGATAAACGTGAACGTGAACGAGTTCCTTTTTTAAAGGAACTTTCCAAGCATTGGTACTGATAGATAATGAACAAATAACACATAGAAACGAAGAAAATTCAACACGAATAAAACAAAATATTCACGCGATGCAAAAAAAGCTGATGCTATAATGCCAATCTCTCTGACACTCGGGATAAGAACATAGCGATAGTGACTCGATTTATCGTAAGAGGCGATTAAGTGGTATGATCCACCATTAACCGATTAACCCGTTAGTTAAAACAGTGAGAGATTTTCCAAACAAATTAATCGAGTTGATCAACCAATATCAACTTGAAATCTAACTAGAACTACGGGAGAAGGGAGCAATAAAATTGTTTTATAAAAATGTATGTCTAATTGTTACTTATATTTTTATTTTTTTCGTAAGATGGATATTTTTTGATTTAAGCTATAACTAATATATAACTATAATCTAAATTTAAATATATAAGTGAAAACAAATTACATAATAATGTACGAGTAAAATTTCACAATTAAGGGGTTATCCTCCTGATGAAATTTTAACTAGGTCACAAAATGTCTGATTTAATTTAAAAATATGTATTTAAGCCAAATATAAATTGATCTTTACTTTATATGTACAACTCTAACAGAATATAATTGATAAATAAATAAAATATTCAATAGTATATAGTTTAGCTATAGACGTGTACCATTATTATTATAAACAGTCAACCGTGTTCGTGTTTTAGGTACTTAAAAATATTATACATGGACATCGAATCTGTGACAATATTATATTGACTTGAAGTGTTTTACTCGTATATATTTATAAACTATACAGAACAAGATGTATCTTAGTTGGTAACAAACTATTCCTCAATGTTCGATGGAACAATTTTGGTACTCTAACTTGGCAAGTGTAAGTGTCGAAAAATATATTCGACAAGATTGAAAGAAAAATAGCTGTACAATTATTATATAATTGTTAATAATTTATTCTTTCAGAAAAATGTTTTTTTTTTTTTTACGTTACATAATACAGTATACATAAGTAATTTACAAATATTCGTATTAGTTCGTACTTAGTGTCGCTCGACATGCATGCACAAAAATACACTAGTTCTAAAAATCCCCCCCCCCAAATATTTTATACCTAGTTGCGCCATTTCGTACGAGCTTATAGTATAGCATGTAACATAACCTATATTATAATACGGTAATAGACAGCGAATTGTATACCAACCAAAATCGGAATCGTAACGACTACGAGAATATGCGCGTATGCCCGTAGTAGTACGTACACGTCGCGTACCGTAATTATGTTAACTACTCGTACACTATTTGCGGCCGTTTGTTATTATTAGATGTTAACAATGAATTTATTTCGGACAACAGCCCTCATTAAAATTGGTTAATTAATTTGCTATTGATTAACGCGCGCGGTGGCCTAGTTAAAATATTATTAATTTGTACGGTACAGCAATAACAATAATAATAATAAGAACAACAACGGTGGCGACTATTATGTAGTATTTCTGTGTATTTCTGTGTAAGGTCAAGTAAATCGTTTCAAAACTATAATTTTGATAACAATATATCATGTGTATGCGCACACACGCACGCACTATTGAAGCATGTGATATATGCAATAGGCGTATGTCGTATGTAGCTGCAAGGCACATCAGAGCTTCTGGCGTTTTACACAAATTTTCAATTGCAATGTCTGCACCGCGAAAATCGTCCGATTTTGTATTACGACCAATGATTGTATTGTTGTCAAACCCAGGTCCTTCGAACCGAAGACCTCATTTACACAAGCACCTGTACTAAGAGTTGATTTCTAAAATAATCCCTATTGAACAATAAACAACAAAAACATTGTTGAAAAGAGCGCAAAATAATTGTCCAACATCATACACGCTATATTATGACGTTTTACGCTAAACTAAACGTTGTACGCTAAACGTTGTACGCTAATCAATACGTGTAGATCTTACTTGGATCGTGTTTGAAATCGGTGTTTCTAGTTACTGTTTAAGAAGTTCGCATCAATTTTGATTCTGTGACGGTTTTTTACTAATGACCTTTGGCTTTACATGGATATGTTGCACCGGTAAAAGCGAAATAAATATATCAGTATACGACTCCTATACCTACCAAATACCCTTTTGGTTGAATCACGTCATAATATATACCATAATAATATATACTTACATAATAATCTGTACTGAGATCATCATAATAAATTCTGATGTATACACATGACTTTGGACTTCTTGATTTTAAATTGTCTTTCTACTGTTCAAAATTATGTTTCTATAAAAACTCTACCTCTGTTTTTTCTTTTTTTTTTTATTGAAATCACGACACTACAAGGAGGTAATACACCTTTGCTGGTCACCCGGCTCTTAGAATTTATTTTCCTAAAATTCAGGACAAACAATCACGTAGCGGTAGGCTTAACGCGTTAAACATTGTTGCCTTTCGAGCGTCATTGGCAGTTAGAACGGTACTAGATTTATTTGTATTATATATTAATTATCCGTACATTAATAAGATGTTTTATGTTACCTAAATTTTCTTATAATATATTCAACTGCCTACAATAAAAATTATTACTTATATTATAAATGGATTTTCTTGTAAGATAAATCAATATATGCGACTGAATATGATAGTATAATGAATTATTGTGTGGGCTTAGATTTCGAAGAAAAGAAAAAAATGATGTTGAATCAACGAATCCAGTTGTATTGCAGTTGACGTGCGAAAAATATTTAGATTTATTTGAAGTTTAATGATGTTGGGGGGAGGTCGAGGAGATTAAACTCTAGTTTAAGTTAAGCAATCGCGAACGCAGGGAGATTTTAGAGGTTAAACTCTCCCACCCCGAAATATCAGAAAAATATTACAAAAATAAGACCTGACCTACAAATCGAATAGTTATTTCAAAGTTTCCCACGGGACATGCAAATAAAGTATTAATTAATAATTACATTCTATAAACTTAACGTTACAATAATTGTCTGAGAAACTTCGCGTTTTTCAATTCAAGTACCGATTACGATATATTTCGACCGGTATCAGTGGGAAACGTTCTCTTTTGATCGATAATATTTATTTATTTTTTTGTCATTCGATCCGAACGTCAAGGACTTTTCGTGTCGTTTTAATAATTGGAATCACAAATCGGTCTGTCGCACGGTTGATTAGACATATTGTTTACGCATGTACTCATAACACGTTTTTTTTTTTTTTTTTTTTTCGTTCGCTTTGATTTTCCTAACCCACGTCGTCCACATCGTTCCAATCGGTTCGTCGTACAAACGCGATGGCTTGTGCTCGCGGTATTTTCCCTCGGGCGGGTTATGAGAAGCGCGGGTTTCTGGTTGTAGGTGCGTTCGTCATTGTTCGCGTTCACGTCCGCAATTGAAATGATTAAATTCATCTCGCCGTCGTTGCGAACAGGTCGCAGGTCATCGTCGTAAGTTGTCGCGACAAAATTGTTGCGTTGATGTTTTCACGCGTCGATAAATCATTGCCGCGGTCCGTATCGGCCGGGTTCATCTGCAGGCGCGTCAGGCTCGTCGGTTAGATCTTTATCCGCGACCGTCTTGTATTCGCAGCCGATACGTGATTTCAACCAAGACGCGTGCTCCGATCACGCTCACTCGGAACGTTCGGTACATCGTGTTGCGAACAATGCCGGATTAAGCAACTATTCGGCTCCGGAGCTGAAATTCTATATGGGCCCCATATTGACAAAACATGCTTCACAAAGCCGCTCGCTACGCTCTCAGAACGATACATTTCTTTTTGACTATTTCACAAATTGTCAATTGTATTAAAAGATTATAAAATTTATGTCTATAAAACTACTAATTTTAGTGTGATAAAAAATTTGTATCGGCTTAAAATTGTTTGGGCCCTTTTCGCTTGGGTACTCGAGAGGCCCCCGAGGTTACCACCCCGGCTAGACCCCCCCCCCCTTAATCCGGCCTTGGTTGAGAACATTTTATTACATTTTTAGAGGGAGGAGGCTCTATATATACTATACGCTATATACAGAGGTGGAACTAGACATTTTTACGCCCGGGGAAAATGTTAAAATTAACATACCTACCGTAGACCAATATTCAAATATTTTAATACTGAAATACAAATATTCAAATTTTTTTCTAACAATTATTTCATACAGTCGTACTTATTGAGTTTTATTATTATAACTTTTAGCGATTATCCTTTGATTTTTCTCTAAATAAATTTATTTATCAGTGATAAATATCGATTATCGGTTGGCAGGAGCTAGGGGGCCTCATCGATCGCGGGGCTCTGCACACGTGCCCAAAGTGCCCAATGGGAAAGATGGGCCTGGATGAACGAGAAAGTGAGAGCAGTTCCACAAACAGTATTGTAAATCGAGGGAGGGATCAGCGTTTGGATAGCAAAAGAGAAGAAGGGACTAGCGATTGTAATTATTGCAACCGTTATTCTTAAAAATATTTTTGATAATAAATATAAATAGATATAGTAGCGTAGCGAACTACAAGGAATATGGAAATTAACAACTTATTAATCACCAACCCCATCCCACTTATCAATTCAGTGTTAGCGTTTGCTCTTCATCTTAAATTTTAAGGTTCATTCAAATTTGACTGCTATCTTCCAATATACCTAATAATTTACCAATAAGTGACCATATATGCAGTTTAATGCATTAAAATTAAAATGAATGATTATGTGGAAGTCCGGTGTGAATGTAGCGTGATGAATTTTCATTTAAATATCATCTAAACAAATAACAATCTTTATATGCAAGGTCCCTGGAAATCTTTAACCGTTTTGTATCTGTAATTTTTTTCTTTTCCACAGTATAATATAATCACTGGCCATCGTTGATGACTGGTATCTATGTAATCCTCGTATCATAAAAAAATTGATTGAATTGTGAAATTTTGTTTAGGGAAAATTCCCCAGCACCCCTGAAAAAAATCTTAATACGCCCCTACGTTTACGCATACGTTTTAAGTTTATACAAAATTTAACATTTTTTTTTTTATCGTGTTCAAAAACTACATTTAAATAATCGATGTGTATTACAAAAATACTTGTATCAATGGATTGACGTGCTTGTTTCTTCAGCGATACCCAGCATACAACACATAAAGTGCTAAATATTATTTTCATTTAATTATAGCTGTAGTGCGCTACGTGGTATAATAATAGTGCTTAAAGAAATAAATTAAAAATCTTTTTAAGGATACGCCTCCCAAGTGTGGTCTTCTTCTATTGTGCAGATTAACTAATAATTAGCAGTTGTACAACAGTAGGTAATCATTATAGAGTTCGAACTTTTAAGTAATTACATATACAAGTATATACGTGTATGTTTAAACAGTGTTATTCTACCTATACCTATACAATCAATATTTTTATTACGTTTTTAATATAATTTCGTGTTTAATGGCTGTTAATATTATTATTTTTTTTTTTTTTTTACTTTGAAATAATAATATTAAAATATTGAATAGTAATCGGTCGACGTATTTTCAAACGATTTTGAAACATTTAATTTCGTGGACAATACATTTGCTCTTTGATAAATCATCGATATGTAATAAACATTTAAATAAAGGTTATGTGGTGGTTATTTAGATTTCATATTATTGTGCCTTGTAATGGAACATGGGCCGAAATATTATGGTTTTTATTGTTCATAAGGTTTGCGTAAAAACAGTGAGTCAAGATTTATCCTTCAGTGTCATGGCCTATCTGTTATAGGTATGTAGTATATATATATATAAATTGATATTATTTTTAAAGTTAGCAACGTCATTAGCTTTTAAGTTTATGTATCAATATTTGATGTGGAGACGATTTCCATATTAGAAACGACCCCATAATATTTCATAACCAGTTATCAAATAGTTATATGATTTTTTTTTTTAAATTCTATTAAATTTGTTTTTAATCATACATATATTATAGTATTAGCTACCTAGTATTTTTGTTACAAGATGGAAGACAAAACACTTTTAAACAAAGCTCGGGCCACTAACAAGAGATTCCATGATTTTAAAAAAGTAAATTTCATTAGAGTGGTTTACTCGTATGAATAAAGTACACTATCAATAATTTTACAATAAAAATGTATAATTATTTATATTATTTGTTCATAGTATATGATGGATTTGACGCGGATTTCTAATGATCTAAATAATGAAATTATAATTGATAATGAAAAACTAAAAACATTGTATGCAGAAATAAACAGTTTACAGAACAAAATAACTGTACTCGACGAAAAAAAGTGTAAATTAGAAACAGGGGTAGACGAATTAACCATAAAAATGAGTAAGTATGAAATCGTTCAAATAACTATAAAGAATTTAAAGAATTAAATAACAGCGGTATACACGGTATCCCACGAAAAAATAACCATAAAAAATTATCTTCTTATTTCATTATTTTAGAAATTTAGATTTTATAAAGTTTATTAGTATGAACATTTGGACGTTTAAGCTTTGGATTTTGATTAACCTTGTGATTTTAATATTTTTTCGGTTAATAAGAAAGTAATATTTTGATCATCTTCATTCATCTTGGATATATTGCAATGAGTGTATTCTAATGGGATACCTTGTATAGATTACATAATAATTATTCTTTAATAGCTATAAAAATAGTAAATATATAATATTTCTTTTTGATAATTTTTAATTTCAGAAAACTATGAACTTTTAAAAATTCATCTAGCAGCTTTAAATCAAGTAAATTATAATTTAATAGTTATATTTACCACAACTATCGTATGAATTACAAAGTATAAAAATAATAATTATTAATTAAATCAACTATTCAAAAAGTTACATATTATTTCATATTTGAAAATTCACTATTACAAAAAAAATTAATTTAAAGTTTAAGGGAAATATTATGAACAACTTTTTGATTGTAATTCATATGACTATACAATCGTACAAACCTAACAACTTGTCTTAAGAAAAAAATTGACCAAGAATCGTTATAATATAATATTTTAGCGCAAGCAAATATTTGAGGATCATACGATTGAAGAAGGATTTAAAGAACAAGGTAAAAATGTTAAAACTTAAATCTAAATATATATATGAATAATATTTTAAAATTAAAATGTTTAATGTTTAAGAGGATACGTTACAAAATAAAATAAATATTGCATTGGACTTTTTCAACGAAAAATTTTTTAAATTGGATGAAGAAATCAATAGTTTAGAACTGAAATTAGCCAATCGAACACAATTGAAGTCCATAAGGGTAAGATTTTCAACAGCAATATTTTATTGCGGATACTAATCATAAAAACATGGTTTTTAAAAATAGTACGAAAAAGAATGCAACAAGTATAAAAAATTGATTAAGCAACTGAATGAGGATAACGATTTGTTAAGTAAAAAGATAAACTTAGTTAGTAAACTTCAGTAAAATTAAAATTGTTTATTTATGATCAACTTAAAATAGTTTTAATATTTAAATTCAAGATTAAGACGTTATAGTTATCGTAATCATTATATAAATGTTTTTAATTTTTTTTTTTTTTTTTAATATTATTATTTCGTATAACTCTTACAAAATACATTTAAATTTTATTTATTTTTATTAGATTCTGATGTAAAATATTTAATATTTTAGCAATCTACTTGAAATTCAAATGTTTGAAATATATTTTTAGATTAATGTTTGAATTATTAATTTTGTTGTTATTACGGCTATTTTCATATTTTAAATAACGGTGTATCCATATTTCCGTTCCTAGTCTTGGAACACTGAGGTGTGATAGGCCACGAGTCTTTTGTTCCATCACGGTAGAAACGTTTAATTTTACACAATAGAATATATTCCATTAGATATTATGTGAATTTTTTTTTTTTTATACATTTCTCATCTTAAAAACGCTAAATAACTCAAGTCACACTTAGTGTACACACAACACATGTAGACTACAATATGATCATCGTCATCTCGCACAAGTTTTAAGATTATAAACAACACTTAACACAACTTACACGAATGACAAAGATATTTTAACGCTTACTGCGAATCACGCGTTTACGGTTCTGTGGAAATGGATTAAACCATGTACGTATATGCATAAATTATTAATACATTACCGGTACATACCGTTGTAGTTTTTTAATAGGCACCGAAAACCGGTGCAACGGGCCAGCGAACTCCACAAAACGTAACCAATCCATTTGTTTACCCAATCACATCTTATATCAACGATTAATGTTCCTAATTTTCGTGGTTTCTTAATCGTTTTCCGTTAACGTTTAAATAGGTATTTTTCAATTCCAAATCCATGATAAAATGTAAATCAAGATTTATAAATAAATTTGTAGTTAATTTGTAGTAGTTCAATTGCAATCAACTATTTACGTTATTGACATTATAATCTCCAGTTCAGCTAAATGTAATGCGACTGTATTACATCATCGAGCATTTTTTGGATAGTTATCAGAAACTAAATTCAACATTTGAGTATAGCCACCATGTTCATATTACAAAATTTTTATAGTTTATATGTATGTCTAGATGCACTTATCAAAAAAAAGAAAAAAAAACAATGCAATTGTCGTAATATAGGTATTCGTACCAAATATACCTATGAAAATGAAGTAAAAATAATAATAATTTATAATAATAATAAACTTATGGTACTTGGTACTTGATAATTATATGTAATTATATGACATTCTTTATATATGTTTTCATCGCAGTTCATGATTTTACATAATTAAGTTTAAACTTTTAAACTAAAATAAAAAAAGTTTAATAAATTAACAAACAAAACATAAATATCAAACACATGAGGATATGATAAAACCAAAATAATTTCTTTATACTACTAGCAATTCAATTTTTGACAGGAAATTTTCAACAATTTTAAACACTAATAGTTTTCAATATAAACAGAGTGGTTAAGCTGATACTCACATCGAAAATGGAAAGAACAAACAAAATAAAATATTAAAACATTCAGAAAACAATAAAATTGAAACTAATTTTATACACCTCATGCACTTACCTCTTTATTTATCACGTACAATTTCTCATATAAATTATTAGTTTTGATTCATTCCAACTTAATAGTCATAATGATATATAAGTGATATATTACCATTAATTTATATGGTGATATTATATTTACGGTAATCGTAGAATTCCATATAATAAAAACATACCTATTTTGATCAAAGGCATACACAGACCTCTTTTTCAGGATAAGTAAAAGGCTGCCAAATGCCCCCTCCCTCACTGAAAGTTATTTTAAGCATTTAAAATTCTGGTAAAAATACATACACAAATGTCTAAATAATAATTTAATTTAAAATTTAAATTTTTTCCTTAAAAAAAAAATGAATGAATAGCAATTTCTATTTTATTATAACTATTTTCATAATCAAAATTTAAAATAAATTACGAAAGAAAAATAAATAATTACACAACACTTGAAATGGTTTGAGCAATATATTCAAATAGTGTAAATAAACAATAAAATAGACATATACTTCAATGAAAAAACAAAATCAATTTGATAAATAATTATAATCGATCATAATACAATTTTGTATTCAGTTGAAGATTTCGGATAGAAATTTATAGCTAATTCTTGATTGATAGTTAAAAATATTAATCTCTTTTGAAGCATAATGCTTCTAAAATTTGTTAATACATTAAATTATTATTACATATATGTTTTAAAAAAAAAAAAATAAAATTTCTGAGACTGAATACAAAATATAATAATTATAGTGCGATATAAAATCATGCAATTTAAATTTGAAGATCAAATGTGTCATATTTTTTATTTATTTTTGGTATTTTTAGAAACAAGGCTCTGTGTTCAGGACATACAACTGTATACCCTGCATACCACCAGCAAACGCCTATAATATTTATAATAGGTTGTTGGTACCCAATTATTTTTAATATTTATGTATTCATAGAGAATGATTTAATACACATATTACATTTTAATTATTTTGAGCAAATTAATGCATTTATTTCTCATGGACGTGAATTACAAAATATTTTTTATTACATTATCTTTTGTAAAAGGTTAAGGCACAGAAGAAAAATTTGAACTAGTAAAAAAATAATTAAACAAAGCATTTTACAGTACAAAAATATGTATAGTTATACATAATTCTATTAAAAAAGTATCACAATAATAAACAATATTATATATTACTATTTATAAAAATATATGGAATACATAAATAGTAATTAATACACGTTAATTCATATTAAATTCTTTTCAGTATCTTAATTACTTTTAGTTTCAATACATTTAAAATTATAGTTTTATATGGTAGATTAATAAAATTACAATTTAAAAATCCACTGAATAGAGATTATATTATAAAGTTGTGGATGTAACAACACTTACTCCATGTACAAGAACTGTAGGTGGTAAATTATTAGTCAAATCAGTAAGAGCATTTAAATAGTTAATATTTTGCAGATCTGATCCCTGTGATTCTTTTGGCATTGGCAAATAAACAAAACAAATGGCTGTTTCAGAAGATTGATTTCTAATTAGTTCATTTGCCCTACAACAAGTAAAAATATATAAACATATATTTATTCAATAAAATTAACAAACAAAAACAATTAAGCAATAATTACTTTAAAATATAAGTATTTCTATCACTGTCCAAAGTTGTTATATCAATCTGAGACCAATCTATGACCTAACACATAATGTAATTATTATTGTTATTTAAAATGAAATATATTTAGAAGCATGTACTTACTTCATTAATAACTGCATTAATACGAAGTGTAAACAACAGTTGTTTTAGCTGCAATCTTTGACTTTGAATGTCAATAGTGTTAAGCAAATGCACTCTCAACGTATGTTTTTTATACACAGCAACCATTTTAATTATACATGATAATTGCATCATAAATAAACTACTAGTATCATATGCATCATTCATTGAAGGACCAAAAAAGTTAACAGGCCATACATCGATATACTTGTACTTGGTGTTCCTAAATTAAATTATACACAACATATTATACAAAAATATTGAGTAAAAGATATTATAACTATATAATTATATACATACTTAATTATATCGGCTTTATTATACAAATCAAAGTGTCGACAAATACATATATTTTTGCGCATTAAAAACACATCATTTATCATCGACACATATTCTGTGGCACCTAAATGTTTTTCTTCATTGGGAGATCTTAGACAAAATTTTTCATCACTAGCTGTAATTCCTTGAAATGCAGTAGTTTTATATGCAGAATCTAACCTGTAACATACGTTTTATTAGTGAAATTGTTTTTAAATAGTTTTAAAATTCATTATTGTCAGTTCACCTTGTAAAATAGTCAAGTGGTACTTTGTCATCATAGAACCCAAATACAACAGTATTTGGCTTCATTGCTCCTATACCTGATAATCGTATAAGATGATGCAGTCCTTCTCTTACACTATTGGCAACAGTAAGTTCGACAAATGCTTTCACCTTTAACAAAAAAAAATTAAAATAAATAGTTTTAAGAAAATACCTGTGAAGGTATTTTTAAAGGTATTTATTACTTTCACATGATCAACAAGACCCAACCAAGATGAGATGTTCTTGTCTGTATAATCTAAATTTTTCTCTGATTCATCAACTTTTACATGTCCTAACACAAATAAACCACTTTTTTTTAAGTCGTTGACAAAAGTTATAGTTGGACAAGATGAACGAGGATTAGCAACCATCAATAGCATTTGAGGTCTCCAAAATTTAATATGACTTTTTCTAGAATCTAACAACAGCAGATATTTCCGGACCTATAATAACATAAATTATATTTTAATACTGAAGTTCTAAGCTTAATGTCTAAATAAAAACAAGAAAGTAATAATCATACCTGGTGGAATAATAAAGCTTGAGATATTGATCCCCATTCGGTAGCTTCACAGGGAGAGAAGAAATGTAATAAAAGTATAAGTAACAAACACAAACCAAAACTTGTTGAAGCATAGAATGGATTTATAACAAACATCATTACAACACTCCCCATTAGCCCTAAGGAACAGGTCCATGAAGAAAAATACTTGAAGGATGGCCTAATTATGAAAATTGAAGTTATTAATGTTTTTAAAAATTAACATTTTTTACATGTGTAATTTATAACTTGGCAAGAATACTGAATAAAAAAATAAAAAATAATAACTTTATACCTAAAATTAGGAGCTGATGTAAGATCCAAACCGAGACAAGTTAAATTTAATGCTACATATGCTAATAAAAATAGAATGGAATTCAGTTGAGCAATTACATTGAGTGATCCAATAAATAAAATCATTTGTACCAATAGCCATGAAAAAACAACTGCAGCAACAGGATTTGACCGCCAAACTCCATAGTTAACAAAATGTAATAACCGACCTAAAAATAAAAAACACCGTTTATAATACAATATTATTTAAAAATAAAATTACTAAATTATTAACTTTGTATTTAATACTACCAATAACTCAAAAAAATGCTTGACAAGTTAAAACTTAATGAATTATTGTACCCTATTGGTAAGAGTTATAAAATGATAAATTTATCAGGAATTATTTTAAACTTAGTATTTCAATTAATTTAAAATTTATTATTCATTAAATTTACTGCAATTAAAATATTTAAACATAAATAATCAAGTGTAATCTGTTAGTTTTTTAAATATGTTTATCAATTCATTTTTATAATAATAACATTGTACTATTGTAGCCATAATGAATTAGCCTAAATAACATATTCTTGTTCAATACTAAAAAAAACTAGAATGATTATGGTCTAAAATCTACCAAAATATAAATACAATAGAATAATAGAATATAAAGTAAATAAAAGTCATTTAAAACAATTTCTAAACAAAAATTTGAATAATTATTATTAATGAACAGAATAATAATCTTTATAGTGTTTACCATAAATACAATCTTTTGCTAATGCTTCAAGTACTCTACTGGAGCCAATCAAACAACTAAGACTAGCTGAAAATGTGGCCGTCAATATACCAATGGAAATAAAAGGAGGCCAAATATTAATAGGCATCAGAAAGACATAATTTTCTTGGAGTAATTTTTGTGAACATGTAGCAGCCACAAGAACGGATAAACTAATGTATGATATGAAAGTAAACAGTACTCCTCCAAGTGTGCCTCGAGGTATGCTATGAGAAGGATTTTTCAAATTACCTGAAAAATTAAAAGAATTAAAATCAGATAATTTAATAGGTAAATCTTTAAGTTATCTTTAAGTTTTTACCAGACATATTAGCTCCAGCTAATATTCCAGTTACACCACAGAAAAGTACTCCAAATACTGATGAAAAATTTACAGCAATATTATTTGAAGTATAGTCATACCCAAAATTAGGGCCCAAATTTTCAGTAAAAGTTGTTAAACTAAAGCCTGTATAATTTAAGAAAACAGTAGTGTTGGTCTCATTTACAAAAATATTTGCCGCAGGTACTTCAATCTAAAATATATATATATATTATACATAAATTATAATTTATTATTTATAATTAAATTAATTAGTTTAATTATGATCTTACTTGTTGTGGAGACTTTAGAAAAAAACTAATGAATGAAGATAATAAGCATATCACAACAATTGCAAATATAATCACAGTAGTTTTTGCAAATAATGAAGCACCAATTAAACAAATTAATAAATTTAAAAAATTCAACAACGATGTATAGGTAAATCTCCACCAATGGCCATCAGCTAAAATATAACTATTTTCTGGCATTAAATAACCTAAAAACATTTATAAAATATTAATATAAATCATACTCAGCAAAGAAAACGTGCAAAATAAAAGAAACATTATACAAATACAGAAATAATCATGATTTATATTACTAATAGCCGCTTACCAGACTCTCCAAAGTTATCAATAAGACCCTCTACACATCCTGTAAGACAAAGAGCACTGCTAACAATATTTGCAAGGAAAAATAATGTTCCAATTGATCCACCAAGTTCTGGACCTAACGTTCTACTAATCATAACTGTAAACAATCTTAAGGAATTGATTCATATTGTAAAGGTAAAATATTTTAAAAGGTTAACAATTGTTTTGAAAAGTAAACACTATCAAAAGGATACAATAAGCACCGCCTCCTTCAACAGCACCATTGGTTGATATAGCACAAACAGACATAACAGTAAAAACAATAATAGTATAAGCGATGGCAAATTGAAAAAGAGTTTCAACAAGACCAGCATTACCAATGACAAACCCTGGACAAATAAACGAATACACAAATGTCTGAGTGATGGTACAAAGAATAAAATCAAACGTTTACATGAGTTGTTACCATACCCACTCGCAGAAACAACAAGGCACTGAACATTGACAGACAGACGGGCGCGAAAACTCCAGCAAAAGGACCCAGCGTACGGCCACTGGTAGCCTCGCCAATATTTCCGAACTCGACGTAGCCGTCTTTCGATGATTCATCAGAGCCATTGTTTGAGTTAGTGAACAGGCGCGTGAAATAGTCGAAAACCTGACGGCGACGGTTGACCAACGGTATCTTCTCGCCGACGTTACCGGCAAACGAGACGTCGATCGACGACTGGTTACCAGCACTCATTTCGTTTGGTTTTCAACTTCAAAAGTTTTCCACGAACGCTAATACCACCTGACCATCACTATTCGGCAGGCGTGCTGCACGATACCTGACGAACAGAACGACAGTTTCGAACAACAATTATAAACGTAACATTAACGTCATGAGCTGTTCGGATTCGCGCTACTAAGTGTAGTAGGCGGACAAGTGACCGAATATTACAGTTATCAGATACGATCGGTTCACCGCGGACGAATTCCCGTCCGTGCAATCAACGTACCTAATTCGCGGAAGATTAACGGCGATGGCAGCAGCGGTACGAGTGAACGGTGACCGGTGACGGATCGGACGACGAGCCGATCGAAACGGGAACGCGAAACGTGTCGATCACTACAAGTAGCTGGCGGAACGTTTGGAAGACTGAACACGCGCCACGGCGATAACATTCATTTTGTCGACGACGAAACGACCGTAGCAGCTGACACTGGTCCGACAGCAGCGAGTGATAACTCTTATCTTCCGAAACGGCCGCCGACTGCGATCAGCGGACAACGAACCGGAATTTCCCTACGCGCGGACCGCAGCGTTTTGAAATCATTTTTAGCACCTTCGATTGTGCTGTGAACATATTATAATTATTATTATTATTATTATTATTATTCGAGAATCTCGCAGACGAACGACCGTTGGCCCCTACACGGGACCGGTTCCATCGTTTTACATATTACTATGAACGTTCGACCTTATTGTGTGGTAGAAAAAAATTGTGAAATACAACATTACGTGTTGTACTGCAATTCGCTGAGGTCGTTTGTGTACATCAGTGGCGTAGCTGAAGTGTGGATGGGTGGATCGTCCCCCCTGGAAATTTTTTATAGATGATGTCTTGATTAGGGTTGCCAGATTTCAAAATTCAAAATAGGAGACAAAAAAGGATAATGTCTGCCCCTCTTGAAAAAAAAAAACATAGGTAATAATTTGCCGTTTATAAAAGTTAAAATAGAAAAATAATGATAAGTAAATGATAAAATATGCCGTTTTATTATCTCAATACAAAAAAGTGATATTATATTTTATTGTATGGGTAATTTTATGAAAAACGGGACATTTTGGTGTCCCAAAGAGAGTTATTGGGACGACGGGACATCAAATTAAAAAATGGGACATTCCCGTATTAATATGATATTTATACCTGTAATATTTTTAAATCACCCCTCTCCCCAATATGGTACATACCATATATGGTGTTTTATTTTTAATCATTTCTCTTCAATTGTGTTCACTACGTTTTTTTTTTTTCTAATGAATATTTACAATCTGTGTAGTAGTTTATACAATAAGTAAATTTTGAAGGCTTATAGTTAGAAAACAAAAGGAGCAAGTACTGATGCCTGGGGAAGGCCATTAAGTACTGTGCACCAATTGCTTTCTTTATTAACTATAAATATTTTGAAGCGGCGGTTCGTGAGCATTCTATCTAGGAGTGTAAATAATTTCTTGCATGGGATGATCTTTGTGAACTTATTCAAAAAGCCGTATCTCCATACTGTGTCATACGCCGCTGATAAATCGATAACCGCTACACTAGTTCAATTTCCTTTGAAATCCAGTCTCTATTAAGGTTGTGAGTGCTAAGCACTTGCTCCTCGCATCCTCGGAATTCCCTAAATCCAGCCTGCTCTACTGGTATCACGTCTTCGGTATATGGTTATATGCGTTCTAATATCATTCTTTCTAGGATCTTATACGTAACGCTCAGTAATGATATAGGACGATAATCTGCGGCTTCGTGTCCGTCTTTCCCGGGTTTTAATAACGCAATCAATTTCGCTCTTTTAAATTGCTTTAGTAGTTTTTCAGTATCTATAATATCATTATAAAACATAGTTAACTAGATATGGGTTCTCGGACTTGCAAATTTAAAAAATTCTGAATATATCCCATCGAAGCCCGTAGCTTTGTTTATTTTGTATCATTTTGTGTGAAAGCAGCGTCTAGAGTTGGGTTCGGCATTAGCATTTTCCTGTGATCTCTTAATTCTGTTTTTATTAATCGTCTATGCTCTTTGTCTATTGAAAGTTTTCCAACGCTTTTTAATCTAGTTGCTACGCTATTTGGTCTTAAGGTATACTGACCTTTCGTGTTATTATTCGAGGTGCTTAATTTTTTCATTAGGCTCCATGCTTTGTGGCTGAAGTGGGTGAAGTCTAGATTTTCTGTTTTTTTTTTCACGCCGTCTTAGTTTTCTTTCTGAATTTAGGCGGTTAATAAATTCATCCACTACGGTGTTATCTTTTAATCTTTGAAACTCCGCAAACAGTTCATTACACATTTCGTTCCAGTATGGGATGAACTGCTTCATGAAGACCCTAGGTGTGTTTTTTCGCCGTTAGTTTTATAGCTCCCACGAATCGTTCATAACATTTGGCCTTTGCTGGGATCCATTGTATTTAGACTTAATAATTAAGTGATCTAGCTTCTTGGCAAATTCAGTCCAATTGGCATTCTTGAAATTCCATCTTGGTTTTGGAATTAATCTAATTATTGGTATTTTTAGACCATACTCTAAGATCACCGGTCGATGCTGGCTGTGGGGAAAATCAGTGAGAATGCGGCACGATGCCATTTGATTACTATCATTTGGAGGTTTCGATAATATGCTCAGATCTGGCGCGTACTCCTTCAGCCACCTTGCTAATCGAAAAGTTCCCTTGTCCTTTATACTGAAGACAAGTTTAAATTCATTGTGTCTAGCCATTCATATAGTATATCTCCATTTTCATCATTTTCCTCATAGCCCCACGCCATATAATGGCTGTTCAAGTCACCCCCATAAATGGCTGGGTGTTCGAAGGTTTTCATTGGGTTACTCTCCTATTTGTTGTTTGGAGGTTTATACACGTTCGTTACTGTAATACTACCAATTTTCGTGGCTAGAACTTGGATGTTTCCTGAGTTAACTTTGTGAACCACCCTCGAACCATCGATGTTTTCTTTAACATACGTAGCTATGCCATACTGTTTGTGATGTATCGCTTCAATTAGTATATATCTTGCGATGTAGCCTCTTTTTTGAAGGTCATCATCTTTCGTGTGTGTTTCTTGTAAGGCAATTACATCTTTTCTTTCCTTGTTCATGATTTTGGTTAGAATTTCACACTTCGCTTTGGAAATTTCTTCAGTGTTGAAATGACAGATCCTAAGATCTTCACCAACATTAAGCGTCAATTGTTCCTTAAAAAAACCGTTTTCGGTTGGCATTACTGCCGTTTGCTGATGTTTATTTGAAATGCTGGGCATCAGCGCCTAGTTGTGATATTAATACGTTAGTTTTTTGCTTGATCTCGTGGATTTTAGCGGACAAACGTATGCAGAGAGGGCTACGATCAAGCTACCACCATCCTCCCCAAGTGATCAGTATAAAACCCTGTGAAAGTGGAATAGACTATGTACTATTCACTGAAACCCCCGAACACAAGTTTAACCTTAAACAAATATGGTATATAAAAAATTATTAATAAAAAAAAGATTCGTAAATATGTTAAAAAATTAAATAATGAATACTGATTTTCTTGACTAATGGTAATTTGAAAATGATACATAAAAATAAATATATATATACTATAAAAAAAGGTATCGGTTATTTGAAAAATTTGAAGAGTCATTCATTAAATGACAGCGATGAGTAAATTTCAAACTTATTTAGACTTTTCCTTGGTTCTAAGCTATTAGCAGGATATCTGATTGAAGATTGATATCAACCACTATAATTAACACTACTAATATTTTATTATATTTTTTGAAGAAGTGAAACATAGCAAAATTTTTATTTACATAAGTATAATACCAAAAACTTGAAATACATTTTTCAAGAACCGAAAAGAAACCAAAATCTAAATTGTATTTTATTTTTAAAACCGTAAAATAAATTTTTACCGTGATTTTACCAACATTTTTGGGAAATACCTAGTACATTTTATTAGTTTGTCCTTATTCACTTGGCGAGATCCAGCGTAACGTTTCGGACAAAATATTTTAGCACTACTTCCCTCCCCAGCCATAATACATACCCATGTCAATACGAAAAATATACCTATATAATACAATTGATCAATCAAACAATTAATTATAAAAAAAAGTTTAAAAGTAATAATTATTGTCATATCCTAATGAATGAACTACTTACTGTTGTTACAAATCAAATAACAATTTGCAAGGCCGAGACGAGATTAAATGAACGTACCTACCATCATAAGTAGACACAGATCGTCGATTATATTATACTTTGATATTTTATTTTTCTAATGAGGATTACTGAAGCAAATCTGATATTTATATTAAGTTTTAATATATTATATACGAATAATTATAATTAATTTAAAAAATGTCTCATTTTTGAAAGATACTGTTATGCGTGCAAAAAACATTCGTAAGCAATATCACTATTTAACTCAGCTTTTTGATAAAAGGTTCAAGGTCGGAATATCAAAGGTTTATAACAGATTACAGATGAAGAATGTTATATATTAGTAATATATAAGTATTTATATTACATAGACACGTAAAGTTATGTAAAGTCCAAAAAATATATAATGTTTTCAGTAGATAGATGGCACAAACTAATTTTTTCGTGTTATATAATCACGTGTATTGGAACTAACAGGTGATAATATTTTTACTGAAAACTATTTATCATTTATAAAAAGATCTTTAAGGATAAAAACAAATATTAGTATTAGTGTTATCGAAACATTATCCATTATCTCAAATTATAAACATTTTACTAGGTACCGAAAACAGATTATAACTGTTTTTTAGACATAACATAGAAATACTATATACGCATACATAACAACCTAATGTATAATCTTTGAGGACAATAGAAATCTATCAAGTATAAAAAAAATTTGTTTATTACCTTTAAAGTTTTCTAATCGTTCTTGTCATATGTGTAATTTAAAAATGTCGTTTTGGTATATCTGTCTCATCTCTAGAAGTTATATATTTGTATTTAGATATTTTTATTTTGATAATTTTTTTATAAATATTAACGAATTATAATTATTATTAAAACGAGTACACGATGGCCTAATTCAATCAACACACATAAAAAATTAATAAAACAATTTTTAAAATACTATAATTCATTTTTTCATATTTGCAAGTTTGGACGTAATACTTATTAATAACTTATAATATGCTTATAATATTGATGAATATTTAGCAAAATAGTAAAGTATTAGGTACCTACTTCATAATTCAGAAGGTAATACTGGTGTGTGTTATAGATAATCCACATATGACTAGAAATGCTAATAAAAAATTAATCCGCTTTTTGAGCATTAACTTTTTATTAAACTTTTCTTTTAAAGACTTAGCTTATGACATTTAATTATAGTTTAATTTCAATATTCTTTAATTATAAACTTCTAGTGTGATATCCTTGGGTTATCATATCTTAATTATTTTGCATAACTTGTTCACTTTTGGTAATTATATTGTCTACGCTACGCATGTGCTGAAAGGATTAAGAATTTTCCAAATTGTTTAAAGATTACACATTTAATAACTGATAATAAAATAATTTAAATAGATG